CACTCTCACACACCAATGAATCACTACTCACACACCAGTAGATCACACACTCCTCACACACACACCAGTGAACCACACACACTCCTCACACACACCAATAGATCACACACTCTCACACACCAGTAGATCACACACACTACTCACACACTCCTCACACACCAGTAGATCACACACACTATTCACACACTCCTCACACACCAGTAGATCACACTACTCACACACACCAGTAGATCACACACTATACACACACTCCTCACACAGTAGATCACACACACACTACTCACACACACTCTACACACCAGTAGATCTGCCTCCTCCACACCCACACTCTCCACACCAGTAGATCACCACACACTACTCACACACCAGTGGTTCACACACTCTCCCACACACACCAGTGAGCTGTACACTCCTCTACACACCAGTGAGCCACACACACTCTCACACACCAGTAGACCACACTCCTCACACACCAGTAGATCACTTCTCCACACACCAGTAGTCACACACTCCTCACACCAATGATCACACACTCCTCTCCCACACACCAGTAGATCTGCGCTCCTCACCAGTAGACCACACACACTCTCTGCCAGTAGATCACACACTTCTCACACGTGATACAAATTTCCCGTTTTCTATGATAATCTAAGAAAAATGTCGTTATAGAAATGTTAATTTTCATCATAGAAAACGGGAATTTTCATCATAGAAAAATGAAAAAATTTATATCATCCAACTTTAAATAATAATTTTTTTGTTTTTTTGATGGGTATTTAAAGAAGATTCACCTGTACTATTTTTAATATTTACAACATGCAATATTTACATAACTTACAGCTATATATACTTTGAGCAGCAATGATTGCATTGCAAAAGTAAATAAAAATATATATTTACATATTCATTGATAGTGTTTTAGCAATGGTTTAAACGGGTACAACAGTTAACAAAATACCTTACTAAATCACACACTTGGAGAAGCAACATTGGTGATAACCTTGCTGTAAGAGAGTTTACTTGATAACTGTGTGTGTGTGTGTGTGTGTGTGTGTGTGTGTGTGTGTGTGTGTGTGTGTGGTAATCTCTCTCTCTCTCTGTCTTCCGTGAAAGTATTGTCTCTCTCTCTGTCTGTCTGTCTGTCTTCGTGTGTGTGTGTGTGTGTGTGTGTGTGTGTGTGTGAAATGTGTGTGTGTGTGTGTGTGTGTTTGAAAGAGATTCATCATGGGATCAGATGTGCATCTCAAGGTATATAATCTGATACCTGCTGTGTGTCTTCAGCTGTAGGGAGTTGAATTTATCTACAAAGTTGCACGGATATCAAGTTGGTCCTCCCCCACCCTGCTATATGGCAGAGACATAGGCTCATATACAAGACGCACTTGAAAACTTTCACCAATTTAGTCTACGTTCCATCGTCCACATGGACGACAGTGGACTGCCTAAACAGCTACTTTACAGTCACCTAACGAATTGTAAGCGTAACGATGGCAGGCAACTAAAAAGGTACAAGGATAGTCTCAAGACAAACTTGAAAAAATGTTAAATCGACCCCCTCACCTGGGAGATAATTACTCCAAACTGTAACATGAAGGATCACCACATAAGAAGGGAAGGCGTAAATACTTTCGAGTTATCGGCTGCATACCGAGACGACAAGCGCCACGCCGGAGACGCCTGCGCCGACCCCACATGTGCAACATCTGTAGGCGATCCTGCTGGTCCCGTATTGGCCTCTCGAGTCACCTCGGCGCTCACCAACGAAGGTTACGTCATAATAACTCGCATCATACTCAATCCCGAGTGACGGAAAAGTAGTAGTGTATTATTATTGTGTGTGTGTGTGTGTGTGTGTGTGTGTGTGTGTGTGTGTGTGTGTGTGTGTGTGTGTGTGTGTGTGTGTGTGTGTGTGTGTGTGTGTGTGTGTGTGTGTGTGTGTGTGGTGTGTGTGTGTGTGTGTGTGTGTGTGTGTGTGTGTGTGTGTGTGTGTGTGTGTGTGTGTGTGTGTGTGTGTGTGTGTGTGTGTGTGTGTGTGTGTGTGTGTGTGTGTGTGTGTGTGTGTGTGTGTGTGTGTGTGTGTGTGTGTGTGTGTGTGTGTGTGTGTGTGTGTGTGTGTGTGTGTGTGTGTGTGTGTGTGTGTGTGTGTGTGTGTGTGTGTGTGTGTGGTGTGTGTGTGTAAGTGTGTGTGTGTGTGTGTGTGTGTGTGTGTGTGTGTGTGTGTGTGTGTGTGTGTGTGTGTGTGTGTGTGTGTGTGTGTGTGTGTGTGTGTGTGGTGTGTGTGTGTGTGTGTGTGTGTGTGTGTGTGTGTGTGTGTGTGTGTGTGTGTGTGTGTGTGTGTGTGTGTGTGTGTGTGTGTGTGTGTGTGTGTGTGTGTGTGTGTGTGGTGTGTGTGTGTGTGTGTGTGTGTGGTGGTGTGTGTGTGCGTGGTGTGTGTGTGTGTGTAGTAGTGTGTGTGTGTGTGTGTGGATTATTGTATCAGCGCAGTAATATTTTAGTCACAAACTTATAAATTTCATATCTGATGACTATAAAAAACCAAGATGACAATTTAATGTGAGGAATGACAAATTCATGGCACTTATACAACATCAAAGAGAGACCACGTCTTTTCTCTACACCAAGAGCTTCATTAACACTGAAAAAGTAAACAAGTGCCTTATAGTACGATACCACAAGTAAAGATTATGAATATAACTTTGTATTTTACACATATCACCCTATGTAACTGATAAAGGGACTCTTCAGCGTTCGTTGTTGATATAATTATATATAAAAATTGTCACTGTATGGCACATTAGCCAAATCGTCTGGTAGATTACACAGGTATAATCAAGTACTAGTGTGAACTTTATTTACAATATGAATCCTGTTTTCCTTACACAGACATAATTATCGTCAGATGCATGCATTACCTTATACTGTACCACAAAATGCATATTCTTGTATTTTAGTCTTATTCACTTAAAACATAGGAGTTAGTAACTAATATGAAGAGTATAATTTAATCCCTAGAATGAATCTTGGTCGAAGGTGCTGTTGAGAGCTCTCTGGATAGATATTCCGGGTTCCATGGTGGAGTCAATGAACTCTTCGGCAATCTCTCGGTCTAGTCCTGTGTAAGTTCTCTCGATCTGTTCGTCCGTTAACTCCTTGCTCTTCTTGGCCTTCTTCTTGTCCTTTTTCCCATCCTTGTTTCTGCGCTTCTTGCTGTCTTTTTTCTTGTGAGTCCTCGCTTGCTGGTGGTGATCCTTGAATGGAAGATCATAGTTTTAGTCAACTATGCCAATACTATACCTCTACATATCCTACCAATAATATTTCAATAATTTAGCCACTTAGGAATTCATATTATTTATGACATAATAGAGTTTTTCCCGAAGTTGTAATAAAAGGAACACCACAACCGTACACTTAAGATACCCGTTACAACTAGAGGGAAAGAGAAATTTGATTCTGTCGAGAGTGAAGAAATCCCTCCAATTCGTCACCTAATGGCAATTGTCCATAAGTCACGGTTAAATTTGGAAAGAGAATGGTGTCCGGCCGATGACCAATTCTCGAGTTTTTAAGAGGCACAATTATGGCAATATTTCCGGAGAATCTTTGAACATTTTACAAAGAATCTTGCCCATTTTTTCAGAGAATCTTAGGCATTTTTAAGGAGAATCTCGGCCAATTTTAAGGAGAATCTTGGGCATTTTTATGGAGAATGTTGTCAATTTTTTTACAGAGAATTTTTTTAAATTTTTACTTAGAATTTTGATGAGTTTAGGTTAGGCCAAAACACGTAAAAGGGCTAAAAATTCTCCGTAAAATTACCCAAATTCTACAGAAAAATGGCCAAACCTAATCATCTTTTTGCAAGTAAATTTGGTTGTTTAGGGGAACTCTTCTCGCGGCTGTAAGGAACTGTTACATACAAGTGGTATGTGGCAACGAGTGGTCAGGGGGAATCCAGTGTCGGGCAATAGCAGTCACGGTAACAGTAAGCTTGACGAGTGTTTAAGTGTTTCTCTGTAATCGTTCGAGTATAAAGTGAAGTTTCCCCTCATTATTTAGTTAATGGGAATTCGACATGTAACTTCATATCACGTATTTTGTTTGAATAAAGTCAGAAACGTAGATATATCTTTAATTGTCCCCTAACTAATGTGCTAACAATAATGAGTATCCTCAACAACAGACGGACGAATCAGTATAAAGGAGCACATGGAAGTAAATAAGAATACTGTAAATAAACATAATACATGAAAATATAATTAATTAGAATTAAAAGAGAATAACAAGCAGACTCCTCTTCATTAAATAAAATTAATATAATATTCACACACTATAAATAAGTATCCATTACAAAATAACAATTCATTACGTTTTTCAGTTACACTATTCCCGTTTCTTCTTATTTGCCTTTGCAGCATTTCATATAGTATTTATAATTAGAGTATAAGCAAGTTATCAACGTTTCATACATTCAATAATGATACTAACATACAAACTTCCAGTGGGGGGTCTAATGTGTTTCAGGGGAAGAGTCTACAGTTCTACACCTATCAAACTGCTTAAATTTAGTGATAAACTTTAAAGAAAAACACTGACAAAGAAGGGATTAATTCTGCTCAAGGTGGTAACAACCCAAGACACTATGACTAAGTTATCTTAACATTGCAAATACAGCGGGATATATTACTCCTTGTGTTCTTAAATGTATATAAAATATGTTGTGTTGCTATAAAAGGAAGAATCTAGAAGACATACTGGTTTGTTACTACCTTCATACTCACCTGGTCTGAAGGGAAGTGAGGCATCATAGGTGTCACCAGGTGGGGGTAATAGAGTGAGGGGTGAGCTGCGTGTTGAGGTGTGTGTGAGAGCTGTGGGTGGTGGTGAGGGTGAGACGAGGGCAGCTGGGGATACTGGTGAGGGTGGGCATGTGCCTTCTGGGAAATGTGATGTGGGTGGGGATGTGGGTGGGGATGTGCGTGGGGATGTGGATGGAGGTGGTGCATGTGGAGGGAATGCTGGAGGTGTGGGTATGCGGCCTGCATGTGTGGATGTATTGAATGGCGACGTTCATAGTTTTGTGTGGATGAGTGGTGTTTGGAAGTTAGTTGCGGGAGTGAATGTGAACCACTGGTGACAGGATGGCTGGGAGGCTTGAGGATAGAGGGCACAGATGATGGAGCGACCTTGCTGCCACCACCCTTTACAGAGGATGAGATGTGAGAAGGAGTGGCAAGAGGCGGAGTAGCAGTCTGGTGGTGGATCCGGTGGGAAGATGAAGAAGGTATGGACGACACACCAGAGGGATCTGTTAAGGTCTTCCTGGGTGTGGCTGACGACGAGGAGTCAGACGAGGAGAGGGGCACAAACTGTGATATAGAAGATACACCGCGAGGAGGACCCGAAGACGACCCCTGGAAAACACAGAAACTATTAACCAAATAACCTTATAACACGACACTGGTGGCAGAAGGCAAATCAATGAAATGTTAACTTACATGATTTGTTGATAGGTGGCCTCTCTACCTCACACCATTGCACAACATTTTTGAAAAAGATTATGAAAAGAAAACAATAAATGTTTACTTTGTATTGTTAGTGATTTCTAGAAACTTCAGTAAAGGATAATGTTGAAAAAAGGTCTACGAACTTACTGGCGAGACTATAATCACCATAAGCCAGCAGACATGACTCATTATCTCCCTTTAATAGTTTCTTGATATTAAAACTTTCTAAAAAAAATGGATCTTGTCTGAATTAACTGTGACTTTATCTATAGTAAGGTATTGTAACTATTCCTTGTAACAGGCTGGCAAGAGAGGACGACTACTGAGCACTGTTTGTGAAAGTAACTGGCCATAAAGTAATGGCCCGGCAGCACATATACCACAAAGTTTCTAAACCCGCCGGAACACAAGTGACAGTGAACAACAAAGTCAATGAACCTGATAAACAACGAGGTGAACGTATTACCTGGAGTTACAACAGGGGAAGTAGATGTTGGTCCTTGTTAAGTCTGTTTGGAAGTTGCTTAGAAAAACTTTTAACACGTATTGGACAACTGATTTGGCTTTATTATTATGATGTACAAAGTAAAGGGGATAAGCCTAAAGTTGGATGTTTAGAATATTGGAACCTGGCACATTGCTACAATATTTCTAAAAATATAATTACAACTATAACGATTAATAGATAGTAGGCAGCTATCAAATAGGGAGGTACTACCGTCTGGGAAGATAGTGGAAGCATAATGTATTGTCTAATGGTAAACCCTGCTGCCATATGGCATGAAAAAAAAATTCGACTACATCCCAGGTTGCTGATCTGACTGACTTTCTGCGTCATTTACACACAGTTGCAGCGTCTCAATTGTTATTCTTTGACAACACAACATACCTGTATATATTGTTTTTGGAGGTTTAATTGGTGTCTACCCATCTCTTATAGTGTGAAAAATGAAAAAGGTCCTTGAGGCCTGATGAGCCTTGAAGAACAGTGCGAATACAACACACTATACTCCCCAATAAATATCATCTCCTTGGTTAAAGAGCAACATTACCTATGGGACAAGACACAAACACACACACAGGACACAGAAAATGGGGTTTACTCACTAGCTAAAGTACCACCACCACCACATCCATTGTTACCAGGAGAAAGCTGTGTCTAATCTCCCAATTGTTGGTAATTGACTCATTTATTCCGCAACACGAGAATTTCCCTATAATGAGAGGCTTACTATGCCAGGCAGGACTTTGAGTTGTGACATATGTACAATAGTTGCGTAAACTTGGGAGATTTTTTAATTAAACAACGTAGTTCATCTTCCTTCTTTAACAAGTCTTTCTTCTCCTTTCCTGTGTAGCCATACTGAGACAAAAATATAAAAATATCTTAATATTAGCGATAATATTACCTTAGGTGTTAAGGATAGTGAGGGAAGGTGAGGTGGGGAACTAGTAGGTTGAATTAGCAAGATTAAGGCATAGCTAGACGAGGTTCTCATAAGGAATTCGAAGCGACTGACTGACTCATAAATAAATACAAAATAAAGAAACATATTGATAACGAGAGATAAAGTAAGAAAAATTCAGAAACAGAGAGGAGAGAAATAGACAGACGGAAGGAGGTGAGAAATGCACAGAGGATGGGAAGGAAAAGACTAATCTGGACTCACAATAGGAAATATGGTCTTCTGTTGACCAAGCCAGCGGTAGAGTCGCTCCTTGCGGTTGTGTCCCTCAGAGAGCCCCTGGGCGTTGTCTTCTCCCTTGCTGTAGAGTCCACAGGCCTCTCTGGCGCTGATAGTCACACAGGCGAGGCTCACCATACAGTCGATGACCCCCAGCAACACCAGGGCACCTGAGACGAGCACGGCTGGGCGACGCACCAACACCTCCCCCAGCACCTCTACCTCTTCCTGAGTCTCCTGCGGATTCAGAAACTTATTTAGAATAGTTAAATAAGTACAGATACAATACGGATTAATTCATTTATACACCAAGACAGTATATAATGAAAGTGTTTGTATACCCTCACTGTCTATGTTCAGTATAACGATTGTACTAACTATTTATCTACCTATTATACTACTACCACTACTACTAATAATAATACAGTATAATAACAACAACTGATACCTTAAACACCTACGAAAATGAGATCAACTTGATAGCTTAAAACACTAATTAAAGTTTATTCAACTTTGTACAAATGTAAAAGGTACACAACACTAACACACCTTAGCACGTCTCATATGTAACACACTCAATCTGCACTACCCAGGGAGGTCCACAGAAGCAGTGTGAACCGCTGACTCGTGTGGCAACAGGTAATAAATGATATAATTGCCATAATCACCCACCAAGTAAAGTAGAGCCTCACCTGGTCGCTCTCATCGTGACTGCAGTTAGTGTGTGGCACAAACTGTCGGGTCAGATGCCTCAGGTTGACTCAACACGATACTCTAAGGTCTTTCTCGGTATATACGTTGATTTATTGCCCCTCAAAACATTAATACTAAAGGTCCATCCTACAGGCCGAGTACAAGTGGCAAAACTGATCAACTCCATACATAATCGTATATACTTGTATCCTGAATAAGTTCGGGATAAATGAATTTAATAAATACAAGAAAAAAATAATTAACTATTGGGTTAGCAGGTAGATTATGGTTGAAGCAGAAATGTTCTTGAAAGGCCACAAGCATAGTGATACCATCTGGCTGGCGTCGTTCTCAGGTGTGACAGTCAAAATCGAAACCCACAGAAATGACTGCTATATTAACGAGTTGCTCGAACTGTGTCCGTGGGAGCGTGCGTGAATGCTTTAGTGCCAGCGTCGGGAATTATAGTTTGTGTAAAATTATATTTCTTACAGTCAGATGTTCCGTAAATCTTCATGTCCAGTTTACATGTTTTAATCACAGTGGGAGAGCTCCATTTGACGCAAGTTCAAATTAACTTTATTGTAAGCGGATATATTCAATAACATGCATGACCATATTTAATGAATCAACAGATGCGATCATAAAACGGATGTTCAAACTGGGTAGTTTCATATTGTTTACAGTGTTAACTGCATCAAACAACTCTTGCCTTACAGGTTTTTAAGTCGACTCTCACTCCAGTTAACCATCACTCAAGAGGTAAGCTTCGCAGACTGACAAATTAATTGATATATAAACGTATAAATAAATATTCCTCATTTGCACGAAGGAAAATAAAATATTCACTTGGGATGAAAACGTTGACCCGTGAAGGAGCCGAAGAGTGTAGACTGTCCGGTATCACTACAGCTGGGAAGGACAAGTGTGAACACCTCTCTCTACTTCCAACCGATAACTAAGCTATCAACCTGATGCACTTCAAAACTTTCCCCGCCCCATGCACTCCGTCATGCATACTAATCATACTTTCACTTTCCAGGCGGCCAGTTATCATTATTCAGGACTCGGCGTCAGTTGCTCCGCTGTTAAATAATTGCATTGTGTATCCTCGTCGGGGTTTTCTCTTTGGGTCATTGTGTGAGTTTACCTTCCAGCCACTTACACGGTCCCAGCAGCACCCTCTCTACTAAGTGCTCCCTACGCCCTAGCCATAACTCTCCTCGTTGACAGAGCAGCAGAGTTTTACAGAGTGGAATACCCGACGAGATGGTGGATATGGTTTGTTCTGAAAATATCTCTAGCTGTTTATGAGGTAGAATTGGAGAGGGGAGGGACACGCACGTAGGAGAGGGCCCCAGTCAAAAACAAAACACATTAACAAACCCTTAGATACGAAAATTCCCACAAAGATCATTTTAGCAATTAAACTAAACCGTGTTATAACAATAAATATGAACAGGGAAACAACCAAGTACCCAACGTAATGAAGACCATTGTCAGTACAGTATCTGGATATCGGGAGAGTCATCGGTGTCTCTCTACTCGTGATGGACAGGGCTCTGAGGGAATCAAGAGATCAATTACTCTTACAGTGAAGCTTATCCAGAAAAAATCAGGATATCTTCCACCTGAAATCGTGAGACTTGAAAGCTCTATTGTTGCGAGGAAAGCAAATAAGTGGTGTGAACAGGGAAGTAAGCATCGCCGCGGGCTGGTGGTGGGTGGTCCCGCGCCAGCCACAGAGACACAACTTGGTCTACTCTAGGCCAAACATATCCATACATATGATTTCTCAGAAGTAAGAATACAGGTACAGTACAATTAGGGTAATTTACCAGTGATATCAGTATCATAACACGGCGTCTTGGCCCAGATACAACACCATCAGTGATTAAATATGAAACCTTTAGTCATTAACACAATATTATCGAATCTTCTCGTCTCTTTCCTCAACACTTGCTATTATTTTACCGTGTTTACATGAAATTACAAGTTTAACTGAGGCGGTAAAAGTTTGATGATATTAAAACAGGAGATTGACTAATTTGACGTTATTTTTGGTGATTAGCACACGAAGGACCCTGAGGAGAGCAAGAAATTGTATGTGTTTTTTCCAGATAATTTGACTCGCTTATAAATTATAGTCTATTACATTACCAACTACTGTGGAAAGTTTGTGTTCGCAGTAAACATCACGACAGAAATATGGAAGAAAAGGAATGGAGAGAGAGAGAGAGAGAGAGAGAGAGAGAGAGAGAGAGAGAGAGAGACCCGTATGAGCGTGAGAGAGAGGAGGCGTGTGTGTATGTGTGTATGTACTGTGCGAAAAAAGAGGGCAGGAGTGTGAGAGAGAAAGGGGTAAGGGTGTGAAATAGAATGGCGTGTGAGTTTAGATGTGGGTGAAGGGAAGTGTGAGTGACAGGAGGTGGCGCGAGTGTGAAAGAAAACAAAACCGCGTCAAAATATGAAAGTATGTGCGAGCGAGAGAGAGAGAGAGAGAGAGAGAGAGAGAGAGAGAGAGAGTGGGGGGGGTAAGGTTTCGACAAAATTAACGAGGGAGAGAGGCGAGTCGACTCTTTTAAGTCTGTAGATTAATCGATCGTGGTAAAGACATTAAGCAGGAATGTGGCCTCGACATACTGTAAGTACCTGACGTGGGTACCAGGCGCGAGTATTTGGCGTGGGTACTTGGCGTGGTTACCTGGCGTGGGCACAAGAGGTAGAGAGGGTGGATGGGAACACCCTAAGCTCCTCAAGAACAATTGAACTTCGCCAGGTTTTCATATCAAACCCGATTTAACACATAACTAAAGGTCACAATTGTGTTAAAAATCTGAGAACTGGAAAGTAAAAGTTAAAAAATAAATAAAATCTGTTTCACATCTAGATATACACGTAAGGAAAAGCGTCCTCAAGTAAAATCAGCGAGATAATCAGATTTAAAACGTGTAAAAAAAAAATGGTAATAGGTATAAATTTCATATTATTTTCCCGCCAGTCACTGTGGTGTCAGGGACGACATTTGACCAAAGTCTGGCTACACTGATCGTATCACTCCACACGTATTGATATTAACAAGGGTCATAGTTCAATCATTCTTGACTGGATTGTAACTATCGGTGGGGTTGTAGTGGCTGTAGGGAGAACAAGACCTGTGTGTGGGAGGGACTGTAGAAGCGTTACCTACTGTGCCACGCTCAGCACCTGTTGTCTCCACCATCATCGTTCTTTACAAGTTTTGTCCGTTGCTAGTAATGGCTTCTGTTGTTCACGTCTCTGTTTTTTATGATTCTGTTGGCTATTTAGAGATAAATAAGTTAGTAATAACCAATGTATTAATGTTTTTCTCGAACCTGCCGTCACACCAACTCACATACTGTAACATCACCTGTCACACTTCATGATATGACGAGAGAGAGAAATTCGTAAAAATGTACACACGATAAAACGTTACTTCACCGAGATACGAGCTGATGATAAGACTCCATATTTTCACTTTCGGTTAGGATATAAAAACCCCAAACAAACAAAAACTGAACATATCAACCCCAGTACGGACCGAGAGGTGACGCACACGAACGAACACTAGTACACACACACACACACACACACACACACACACACACACACGTAGAAACAAAAATAAAGTCTTAAATTGACTCTGAACATGACAGCCACTATGAAAGGGAAGTATAGGACCGCTAACACATTAGTGAGTTCCTTCCTCCACCAGCAGATGACTTCGAGGTGTGTCGCGGCCGCTATATAAACAAGCTAACGTGTGTGTGTGGGAGAGGGGAGGTTGGTTACAGTATGCTTGCTTGTCTGAGGTGTGTGGGGGGAGGGTTGGTTACAGTATGCTTGCTTGTCCGAGGTGTGTCGCGGCCGCTATATAAACAAGCTAACGTGTGTGTGTGGGAGAGGGGAGGTTGGTTACAGTATGCTTGCTTGTCTGAGGTGTGTGGGGGGAGGGGGAGGTTAGTTACAGTATGCTTGCTGTCTGAGGTGTGTGGGGGGGTGGGGGGAGGTTGGTTACAGTATGCTTGCTTGTCTGAGGTGTGTGGGGTGGAGGGAGGTTGGTTACAGTATGCTTGCTGGTGTGTGGAAGAGGGAGGTTGTTACAGTTGCTTGCTTGTCCGAGGTGTGTGGGGGGGGGAGGTTGCAGTATGCTTGCTTGTCTGAGGTGTGTGTGTGGGGGTGGGGAGGTTGGTTACAGTATGTTTGCTTGTCTGAGTGTGTGGGGGGGGGGGGAGGGAAGGAGATTACAGTATGCTTGCTTGTCTGAGGTGTGTGAGGGGAGGTTGGTTACAGTATGTATGCTTGCCTGAGGTGTGTGTGGGGGGGTGGGGGGGGAAGGAGATTACAGTATCTTGCTTGTCTGAAATTGTGTGGGGGGTGGGGAAGGTTGGTTACAGTATGTTTGCTTGTCTGAGTGTGTGTGTGGGGGGGTGGGGGGGGGAAGGAGATTACAGTATGCTTGTCTGGGTGTGTGAGGTGGGGGAGGGAAGGAGATGTGCTTCTTGTCTGAGGTGGTGGGGGGT